TTCCTTCCTTCCTTCCTTCCTTCCTTCCTTCCTTCCTTCCTTCCTTCTTTCTTTCTTTCTTTCTTCCTTTCTTTCGATTATTTTGTTTATTTACTTTACATCCTGATCATAGCTTCCCTCCCTCCTCTCCTCTAAGTCCCTCCCTCTCCTATCCCCTCTCCCCACCTTCCCCTTCCTTTCTTCTCTGAGACAGGGAGGCCTCTCATGGATATCAGCCCACCTTGGCACATCAAGTTGGAGTAGCACTAGGCACATCTTCTCCTATTGAGGCCAGACAAGACAGTCCAGTTAGGGAAAAGCGATCCAAAGGCAGGCAGCAGAGTCAGAGACAGCCCCTGCTCCTGCTGTTAGGGGTCCAACATGAAGACCAAGCTGCACATCAGTTACATGTGTGTAGGGGGCCTAGTACCATCCCAAGCATGCTCTTTGGTTACTGTTTGAGTCTCTTTGGGCCCAGGTTAGTTGATTCTGTAGCTTTTCTTGTGGTGTTCTTGACCTCTCTGTCTTCTTCAATCCTTCCACAAGATTTCCCAAGCTCTTCCTAATGTTTGGCTGTGCGTCTCTGCATCTCTTTCCATCATCTGCTGGGTGAAGCCGCTCAGAGAACAAGCGCCTGTTTGTAAGAATAGCAGAATGTCATTAATAGTGTCAGGGGTGGGCTCACTCTCATGGCTTGGGTCTCAGGTTGGGTCATTGATTGTCCCTTCCCTCACTTTCTGCTCCATCCTTACCCCTGTGAATCTTGTAGGCAGGGCAAATTGTGGGCTGAATGTTTTGTGGGTGTGTTGGTGTCCCCGTCCCTCTGTTGGAGGGACACCTGGTGTCCCTGGTTACACCTGGTGGCTGTTTCAGTTTCCTTATTCCCTATTGCTAGGTGCTTAGCTGGGTCACCTCATTGATTCCTGGGAGTTTCCCTTGTTCTAATTTTCTAGTTCTTCTCAGAGATGATCCCTGCCGTGTCCCCATCGATTCCAGTTCTCTTTCCCTCTATCCTCCCCCCACTTAATCCCTCCTGTTCCCCCCTTCCCCACCTCCAATCCCACCCTGTTCCCTCCCTTCAACCACTCCCGCATGGCTCTTTTATTTCCCCTTCTCAGAGATGAATCTCACTGAGTTAGTGACATTCTTAAATCCATCAAGGGTAAACTGGTTCAGGAATTTGAGACTTCAGGTTTCCAAAGGGAAGTCTGCCACCCCACTAGGGTAAAGAAACCCTTGCCCTGCCCTTCTGGTTGTATTTGTTGCCCTTGGAATGGACACTCCTCAGGAGCTGCTTCTGAATAGCCAGGGTTATCAATGCTCATCTTTGTTGTCGTACCTAACGGTGATTCTTAGAGGTTGAAAATCAATGTATTAGGGAAATTCACTCAACACTTACACGTTTCATTGGTTCACAGAGGGATACTATGGAGTACAAGGTTTTAGGCCAGTTACCTTGGAGAACCCGTAAGTGTTGTTCGGACAAATCTGCCCCCTTATTGCTTAGGTTTGGGAAAGGGTATAATGAGGACTTCTTTGCCAAAGGGAACCCCAAATAATCACTGCTTAGGAAGGTCACAGGGGAGCTCCTAGTGTTCAGTAGAGGGAGCTGGGAGGAAGTGCTGGGGGTCTCCCTCACTTCCTCAACAACACCCCTACCTCCACCAACCCATTCCCCTCCCACACTCTCTCTCTCACACACACCCTCTTTCACACACACAGCCTTTAGTTTAGATATACTGCCACCAGGTGGTCACTTTGTGTCTCTATTATTAGGACAGGTAGTGTTTCGTTTCTTTTGATCTGGAGTTTTAAACCCACACCTCGCTCTGTAGAAACTATCTTTGTTAAAGACAAAACGATGCAATTACTGGATAAAATAAAGGCACCTTCTTGTCTGTTTTCACCAATCCTCTTGTTCAGTTCTTGTGCCTACATCCTTGCCTTTGAGGGTAAATTATGTTCCTCATGGTTATGGGTGGTGGCTGTTTCAGGTTCCGTATCCCCCATTGCTGGGAGTCTTAGCTAGAGGCACCCTATTCAATGCCTCAATGACTGGAAACCTGGTGAGCTAGTCCCTGG